GTGTAGTTTTGTAAATATTTCTTTCAGTTGTTTGCCGGTCACGTCGTCGCACCGGACGTACCCATCATCGCACGTACACGGCTTCAGGCCTTCCGGACAGTACGACAGCACCCCATAGATTGGGATTATTGTAGCGATTAGTACACCTAATCATCAGAAAAAAGATTTTGTTATTTAATTTATTTATCTATTAATACAATATAGGAATTTAAACTAAATTGCATTGCATTTAATTGAATTGAATTAGAAATAAATTGTAAGAATATATGTTTATTTTAATAAAAAATAATAATTTATACTAACAGTTTACTATACACCAATGCATTATTATAGGTACTGTATTTCTATTATTTTGGCAAAAAATACTAAATAGCAATTAAAATAAATTGATTTATTTATATAATATTTACTACAAAATTGTGCAAGGAGTAGAAATAATAAAATTCACAATGTTTGTCCATGTGATAGACTCATGTCATTAAGAATCAATTTACACTTTATGGTAAATATTATTTCATAAACTATTTAATAAGAATATATAATAAACTTAATTTAAATAATGTCTTTTGTTATTTTTTACCTGTACAGTATATGATAGCATTCATTTTCATCAATTAAATTATTTTATATTTTTAATTTAATTAATAAATCTGTTTAAACAAAAATGTTTTTTGTAATTTGATAATTTGTCTAGGTCCAGACTCTAGAGTAATGAAACATACAATGTTACTAACCTTGACCTTGCTTAATATTTAAATCATATACTAGTAATATTTCTAATGAAATTAATTGCGGATACAAACTCTGTTATTTTATAATAAATAAATAATACATTTTATATATTATTTTAATTAAATAATACTTCGATATTGTTTAATATTATATTATGTAATTAGTATAATATAATTTATATATTATTCATAAAAATTCAACCTCATGTATTTCCTATTAAACAAATTAATGTATTTTATACTAATAAAAACAATACAAAAAATAAATATGCATTATTAATGACAATGTCATTATGACATTATACTAGCATTGTTTTAACTATTGTACAATACTGTATACTGTATTATAACATCTTAATATTACTTAAAATATTATATTTAGAAACAAAAGTATTAGTGTATTGCAAATCAAAACAGATTTATTTAAATATGTCTGACATTGATTTTTATGTATTCATTTCGAAATTGGCATTTGATTGTCAAAATGCACAAACAAGTCTACATAATTAGATTTTTATTATTTCTATTTATAATAATTTTTGTTCCTAATAGCACGGTAATATTTGTCATTGATTTTTGTTTTGTGTATTAATTAAATAGAATTTCATGAAATATATTATATTTACATAAGAATTTAATCAAAATATCATATTGTGAAATACTATTAAAATATGTAACATGTAATTTATTTATCAAAAATATAAATTTACTTGTTTTTGTTATTTGATTCATATAAAAAATATAACTAATAATAATTGTTAATTTAATTAATAATTTAATGTTAATTTTACCTGGTGATATAATCAAAATTTATTTTTATTTTCTCACACATATTTAAGTCTATTGAATAACAGACTACCGTAAATAAACAATAAAAGGTAACTTATAAAAATAAAATTAAAAGTTTTTCATTTAGAAATATATATATTTAGTTATCAAGGCATAATATTTAATATGGACGGCAAATATTTTAAATACTTAAACCAATGGTGGCATACTGTATACATCAATTGTTTCAAAATAATAATGCATTTGATATGCCTAATGGGATGCATATATCAATTGGTCATGATCAGCCAATTATACTTCAATTACGACCTGGTCACAAATGCTAAATATGAGACATCTGGAGCATCTCAACCAGCATTTACTATCTGTATGGATAAAGGAGTGATCATGACAGAAAAACATCAATCTCTGTCAAGTAACAAAAATAACCCTGGTAACATTAGCTTTGATGCATTTAATAACAATACGTCAATCAGATCACAGTTTGAATCCGTGAAGACATTTGAGAAACAATTTGAGTGTTTAGTGAACACTC